GAGACAGGGTTTCTCTGTGTAGCTTTGCGCCTTTCCTGGAACTCACTTGGTAGCCCAGGCTGGCCTCGAACTCACAAAGATCCGCCTGCCTCTGCCTCCCGAGTGCTGGGATTAAAGGCGTGCGCCACCAACGCCCGGCTTTGTTTCGTTTTTAATTGATTTTTTTTTTGCGGGGGGAGGTTCTTTGGAGGGGTGAGAGAAGGATTTGGAGGGACTGGGAGGTGAGTGGGATTCGGGTGCATGATGTGAAATTCTCAAAGAATCAATAAAGAATTATGTTATCAAAAATAAATAAAATACCCTAATAAAGCAATTCTCAGAACATATCCACGCATTATGCATGACACATTACGGTATTCGGTATTTGCCTTCCCAATTAATTATATAAAGGACACAGAACATAATTTACCTCTGTTTAACTGACACAGAATAATCACTGATATCTGTATATACTAAGATAAATCTTTTCTATACAAAATTTTCAGATGAATTCTTGTTTTATATTTTAAATTTTTTAAACTATAACTTAACTAGTTAATAAATAATATAATGGTCATTTCCTCTATCTCAAAATCTCCAATAGTTATATTAGAACTCTGTGTGAGGAAACCCGGCCTGGTGATACATGCTTATGTTCTAATGCTTGAGGGCAAGAGGATCAGAGGTTCAAGGCCAGGCTTAGCTACATAATGATTGTGAAGCCATGCTGAGCTCCCTGAGACTTAGTCTTAAAACATACACACATATAAACAAAACCAGTTTTGAGGACATAAAATACGGATTAATAATTTCTACAGAACCAAAGTTCACATTTAGGACAGACGACTAGAAACCAACTCTCAGTTTTTTTCTTTTGAGTCTTGATTTAAATGCAGCTTAAGAGCTGGAGAGAGGGCTCACAGGTAAGGGCGCTTGCCACCAAGCCCGATGATCTGAGTTCAATCCCCAGGACCTACACAGTGGAGAGAGAGAAGTGATCCCCTCAAGTTGTCCTCTGAACTCCACATGTGTGTTTTCGCATGCACACACTCATACCTATCTACCTACATACAGATATACCCACACAAACAAAAGAAAATGCAATTTTTAAACTGTCGCTTGATTGTTCAGAATTGACGATCTCAAATAACTAGAATCGGTGAAAATAAGCTCTCCCCCATCTCCTGTGAGAAGCAGGCTGGGCTATTCCTATCAGCAAAATGACTCCCCCTCCACTCTCAGAGGCAAAGAACAGCAACACCAAACATTTTCTGGATGCTCCCAGGGTTTCTAGCTAATTGAGTCACAATGTGCTTCTCTTATAGAGAGAAGAAACCCCCAAGTCCTGATGCCCTCCTCACTCAAGCTAGATTTAGCTGCTGGAACATGCCTAACCACCAGCCAAAGGTGTGATCCATTCTGCTCTGGCTCTTCACCATGTATGAGATGTTTCTTTCATATATACATTTATGGTTTAGTTATTATCTATCTCTGTGTTCTAGTAAATAACCCTAAATGTATCTTACATTCTTGTATTTGGTTATAATATTCAAAAATATTAATATTCCTATATAATTTCCTATATATATCCTCTTGTATAAAAACCACTCCCCCCAAGAAAATGCAAAACCCCGTTTCAGCCAACCAGACCCAGAAAAGATGACCTAGTGCACACTGAGAGAGGCATCACCTCTAAAATGAGACATCACCATCCAAAATGTCAAGAGAAGTGTTTTTTTCTGGAAAGTGGTACACTTCCCAGATGTTCTCCTTAGCACTGTTCTCCTTAACACTGTTCTCCTCGCGGTTCTGCCAGAGTTGCTATCATCAAGAATCTCTTAGCAGTGAACTCTCAATTCCCACACCCCAGGAAAACCAAAGAACCCACCAGCTTGAACCCGCCACCTGGAATCTTAAGACTGTTGTCTGAAGCATGAACCAAATTAATCTTATCAATAAAAAGCAGGAGTCACATATCCGGATAAAAACTAGGAGTCACATATCCGGGTAAGATCCTGAAAGATCAAAGAGGAGCCACCAGTGACTTCTTACCTCTTCGGATCCTCAAGCAGAAAGGGCTGAGATTTTGTCTCCACCTCACCTTATCACTTCCTCTCTCCGCCTCCTGAGTGCTGGGATAAAAAGGATGAGCCACCACCCCTTAGCCTCTATGGTTAGCTCTAGATCTCAAGCAAGCTTTATTTGTCAGAACACAAACAAAATATCACACAACAGTCGTCTACACAGCACCAGAAGACTGATGAACTTTGCATGGTCATAAGCACAGCAGAAAGCCAAGTAAGGGCCAAGTTAGATTCCCAGCCCCTACATCAGGTGGTTCACAACTGCCTAACTAACTCCAGTTCCAGGGGATCTGCTGCCCTCTTCAGGCCTCTACAGGCACTGCACTCACATGCACAAACCCTCACTCACACAGCTATATACATATACATAACTTACATATTTTATTTAACTTTTTTAAAACTCCTAGCTCTGCCAAGGGGTGGTTGCATGCCTTTAATCCTAGTACTCCAGAGGAAGAGGCAAGTAGATCTCTGAGCTTGCTCAAGGCTAGCCTGGTCAAAGAGTGAGTTCCAGGACAGCTAGGGACTACACATAGCAATCCTATCTTGAAAACCTAAAAAGAAAACAAACCTCCTAGTTCTTATATATTTATATAAAATTCCTACTTCACAAAAAAAAAAAACAAAACTAGTTAACAATTTCTAGTTAACTAGTTAACAAAGAATTTTTCTACCTGTTCCTTTATACCGTAAAGGAGAAAAAGCTACTGTTAAAAATAAGAGATGAGGCGGGGCACATCTTTAATCCCAGCACTGGGAGGCAGAGGCAGGCAGATCTCTGTGAGTTCGAGGCCAGCCTGATCTACAGAGTGAGTTCCAGGACAGCCAGAGCTCTTATACAGAGAAACCCTGTCTCAAAAAACAAAAACAAATGAGAGAGAGAGAGAGAAAGTTGCAGTCAAATAACTCGGAGTTATTTCAAAGGTTTTTGTAGGGGCTGGGGAGATAGCTGGGAAAAGTGTTTCTTGCAGAAGCATAAGGACCCCCATTTAATCCCAGGCACCACATCAAAGCCAGGCACAGCAGGATATGACTGTGACCCCAGGGCTGGGAGGCAGGGACAAGCCTAGGGCTTCCTGCCCAGCCAGCCCAGCTGAATCAGTGAGCTGCAAGATCAATGGGAGACTCTGTCTCAAAAAGTGATAAGGTAGAAGGGGATTAAATGTCATTTTCCAACCTCCACAGGCACGCATGTGTACCAGCACACACAACTGTACACACACACAACTGTATACACAGAGAGAGAGAGAGAGAGAGAGAGAGAGAGAGAGAGAGAGAGAGAACAAGGGTTTTATAAAGAAACACTTGTACACTGCTGTATGTTTAATTCCTCTCTTATACACATTTTGTCTTTTGATCTGTGCAGCATCGACATGAGGTTAAGCAAGAAGGAATTACAATCTGCATTTTCACAGTTAAAAGTATCACACAGTTTAAATGACCAGAGTCACACAAGAAGAAATTTCAATAATCAAAACTGAAGACACAGTTGTTTCTCCCCTTCCCCCACTGGACCCACGCATGAACTGGAGCTTAGAGTCTGAAACCCATCTTCCCACAGAAGAAATCTTCCACTCTGTGGTCCGGAATATAGGCTAACTATTCAAATTGTTTTAAAGCTCCTGAGACCTACAATATCAAAGCATGCTGTAATACTCCAACATTAAGAACGTACTTCGGTAGACTGCCCTTGGGGCTTTTACATTTATCATTGCTCTAGTAAGAACTATACCAAATCCTGTCAAAAAGAAAAAAAAAAGTCCCGCTTACATAAAGGGCCATCCTTCCCAAGGCCCACCCTGAGCAGAAGCAGCCATCCTTTTCAAAGCATGAAGTGAATACAAGTCATAAAGCACCCATCCTTCTTCCTGGTGCATGGTGGTCACTGCTCTCCTCAGTCGTCTTACAGAGGCTACAGAGGCTACAGAACACTGTTCTCTGGGATGCTGGAAGGATCTCATTATTCACACCTCCTGTAAGCTGTTCGGATATATATCTATGGGTAATATCAGAAGTACCAACAGCTGGACAGTGAACAGGTTTCATCCCCTGTTCCTGGATCACAGGGAAATCGGTCACCTTTGTGGAGGACAGAGTGCCAGTCATCATTTCTGTTCTATTTTCACAGCAACATGAACTCTGTTTTGGTGTTTCAGTCAAGTGTTGGTTATATCAAGTTTGTAGAGGAAGCTCTAAGAGACGACTGGATTGATGATCATGCTTGTCTGGTTCATGGACCGATGGACGGACCCTCTGAGTGCACAGCCAAGTGCTTGCATATACCCAAAAGCCGTTAACCATTTATTACATGAATAGGTAGGTACTTCTGAAATTGCAGAATTGCTTTATTTCTAAAGAAATAAAGTGGGTCATTATAAACCATGAAATGGTCGGCCAGACCCATGGCTTTCAGAAGTAACCACAGAATGACCTGGCCTAAAATGTTGGGAGCCATTTCTTCATATAATCCGTGACAGTTTTGACAACAAAGTACCAGGTAACTGTTAGCACTCAAAAGCATGGCAAGTCATCAGAACGAAGTGAAGATGAAATGCATGACTAAATGTCTGTCCACTGCTTCTAAGTATTTGTTTAAATAATACAGTACTCACTTCCACAGTCATCTTGAAGATCTACAGTAGCAAATGGCATGTCTGTCAGAGAATCCACAGTGCTGGCTTCTAATTCCCCTGAGACTTCCTCTTTTCTTAACACACGTTCACACTCACTGCCATTTATTTCTCCTGCAACACACCAGAAAAAGAAACAAATATCATTGAATTGTTATTGTTAAACTCCTACCCAGAAACCAAAACACCTCAGCCAAGTGGACAATACACAGCAACCTGCATAAGGAGAGGTTGTGACTTGCTCTTTTAACATAGTCATGTTTTGAAAGGTGCATCTTCACATTAAATAGTAAGCTTTCTAATGCTTTAATCCTTTTCTAAAGCACAGATGTCAACAGAGTAAATCAGTAATCTTCCATCTGTAAAAAACAAATTTTTCACATCTTTTGACAACAAACCAAGTTTGTTCCTTCACTTGTTTATTGTGTCTTCTCATGTTTACTTTCAATAATATCAGCTATCTGGGGGACTTGAAAAACGTTTTGATGTTGCTTTTATTAGTATATATTAATTACACAATACAGGTTTCGTTGTGACATTTTCCTAGGTGAACATGGTGTATTTTGACTATGGTCACACATACACACACACACAACACACACACACACACACACACACACACATACACACACATACATACACACACACACACACACACACACACACACACACTTCACTCTCTCATCTTTTCTCACTCACATTTTGTGTTCTAATATCTATAAGCTTGGCTTTTTTCCCCCTTCCATAAATTCTTCCATTCCACCATTAAACTTAACACTGGAAATTTAGTTAAAAATACTTGACTCTAGGGGCCAGTGAGATGGCTTATTGGGTACAGGCTCTTGCCATGAAGGTCTGGCCACCTGAGTTGGATTCCCCAGAACCCATGCAAAGGTGGAGAGAACCGATTCTAATTGTCCGCTGACCTCCATACATACATAGGTCATGGCATATATGACCTCCCACATACACAAGAGACTTTTCAATACATGGTTCTAAACATGTATTTTTTGATGTTCACCTATGAGAATCAAACCATCCTCACAGGATTTTGAAACAGCCCTCCTATATCATGCACTAAGTCACACTTCACATTTGGTCTCCGTTTTCTTGTTACGGGTGGAACACCCACAATGTTGTGGGTAGAGGGCTAAGGAAGAGAAGACTTGAACTGATAAAGTTAATTGCTAAGTTTATCTGTTGGTGGTCTCCCCAGTACTATTATTCACCATGCTTCTATTAGCAGGCATAAATGTTATTTGGACTGAACAAAATCCAGGAATAGTTACATAATTTTCACCCAGTATAATCGATGAAGACTAACTTGCCTTGCAAACTATTAAAGAAAACATGCATTTTCTTCTGTTACAATCCTCTATTTTCAAATGCAATACAAATGCAATAACTGTAACACACATTCCATTAAGAATATGCCGTACATGGCTGGAAAGATGGCTCAGGGGTTAAGGGAACCGGCTGCTCTTCCGGAGGACATGGGTTCAGTTCCCAGCACCCACATGGCTAACAGCAACCTGTTAATTGCAGTTCCAGAGGCTCCAAAACCTTCTCCTGACCTCCAAAGGCACTACAAACTTCCAGTACACAGACATAGCACACAGGCGAAACAGCCATACACACAAAATAAAATAATAAATCTGAAGGAGAAGGAGGAGGTAGCAGCTTACAGGGCTAGAGAGATGGCTCAATGGTTAACAGCACTTGTTGCTCTTCCAGAGGAGCAGGGTTCATTTCCCAGTGTCCAGCCCCAAGCACCCACATCTGGAAACTCATCCACTGCCTGTAACTCCAGTTCTGGAAATTTCACACTCTCCTCTTGTCTCCTTAGGCACTGGATACTGTGCTATACATACATTCAGATGTGCTTGTGAGCGTGCATGCGCGCACGCGCGCGCGCGCACACACACACACACACACACACACACATATTATAAATAAATCTTTTTTAAATTATATATATATAAAATCCTGGCAGTGGTGGTGCACGCCTTTAATCCAGCACTTGGGAGGCAGAGGCAGGCGGATCTCTGTGAGTTGGAGGCTAGCCTGGGCTACAGAACAAGTTCCAGGAAAGGCTCCAAAGCTACACAAAGAAACCCTGTCTCAAAAATAC